TTGTTTCTTCTCTTGATTGGTCTTGTGACCCTTGCTTGCTCTGGCTATCCCCCATTTCGCCTATGGGGGTGTGTCAAATTATATATATGCTTGTTTAGGTTATCTAGGCTGTATGGGGTTTAGCACTAGGGGGTACACAAACTTTCTCGACACCCTAGTCTTGTACCCTAGCCTTCACCTAATCCACCAACTCTTGCCTTAGGTTCTTAACAGAACTGACTCTCTATTTTTTTAGGAGGATGTATGTTCCCGATCAGTGAGACTACACCACTTCATTCTGAAATATCAGGGTCCTAAACATATTCACTTTTTCCTGTAAGTGTCAGAAAAAAATCCACTTTGTAAAGTAAGGGTCCGAATCAGAACACACCCTTATAGTAAGGGTCATAAGGGTGATTCACCCTTATATCAAGAGGCCAGCATGGCGCGGCGGCTATCACGCTTGGCTCATTATCGTACTTCGCAACATAAATTACACATCCCAAAGCAAGCCTGCCATTCTTCCATCTCTGTAATTCTACTACCATTCGCCGTCCAGTTCTGTCCTTGCACTGGACTATCGTCGCGTAGGACCAGTACCCCTCATTCTACCCACCTAACCGACACTCCGCACTTCCACCGACGTGAACCGCAGACACAGCACAAGCTCGCGTGTTGCGTCTCTCCCGCGCCTCTTCCGCCGCCTCTCCCGCGGGACCCCCGCCGTCATCATCATGGGGTCGATGTGCTCCTCTCCTGCCGGCCTCCTGTTGCTCTCTCTCGCCCTTGCCCTAATCTGCCATCTGTTTGCTGCTCTCTCATTGCTGCAAGAAATTTGGCTATGGTCAGACGCTGCAGGGTGTTTTTGAAATTTCTGCAGGGTGTTTTTGAGAATTCTCAAAAACACCCTGCAGCAAATTTGGCTATGGTCAGACCTTTTGTACATTTACCTGCTGCTCGTTCTCGCCCTCATCTGTGTGGTCAGTCTACTGCTCTCTCATTGCTGCCAAGTGCCTGACTTGTGGTCAGCCGTTGCCTTGATCTCCTCTTGTGTCCACTCTTTCTGCTCTCTCATATCGGCTCTCTCATATCGGCTCTCTCATATCGACTCTCTCTTCTCTTCTCTGCACGTCCTCTCCCTTGTCCTCTGCAGCAGCTCAGATGATGAAGGCAGCGTATGGGGACGACACAGTGATAAGCATGACTCAGCACACGGCAAACCGTAGCATGCTGAAAACCACCGGTGACAGCACCCAGCCCAGCAGCGCCAGTGGGGTGCCTGATCTGCCTGTTGCCACAACGGTGGCGCTGGGTGCAGTGCGGTTGAGCTTCAGCAAGTAGCGCTGCGTGAGCGTGCCCAAGAAGGCCGCGAAGCAGAGGAACGCGCAGGTGTAATGGAACGGCCCTAAGGTCGCGAACCTAAAGCGGTCGAGCAACGCGGGTTCGGGCGGCAAGGCGACAGGTGTTGCGTGCTCACAGGTCAAGTTTTTTGGGAAGGACGGCTGCCAGGGCAAGGCGGTGGGCAGCATGGTCAACCCAAGCACTACCGTGACCAAGTGAGTAAAGGGTGGTCTGTTCCAGGCTGTCAGGGGTGGCATGCGAGTGTTGGATTATGTGTGGGTGTGATTTTGGTTTGTGCAGCCGTGTGTGAGGCGCGGTGCGAGAGGACTCGAGCGGCGCATGACTTGGGGAGGGAAGGGAGGGGCAGGGGGGAAAGGAGAGGGGAGGGAATAATAAGCATGTTGTCATCTCTTGTGCTTCCACTTGCCACGCCCTTCATGGGCTTCCACTTGCCACGCCCTTCATGGGCTTCCACTTGCCACGCCCTTCATGGGCTTCCACTTGCCACGCCCTTCATGTGCTTCCACTTGCCACGCCCTTCATGTGCTTCCACTTGCCACGCCCTTCATGGGCTTCCACTTGCCACGCCCTTCATGTGCTTCCACTTGCCACGCCCTTCATGGGCTTTCACTTGCCACGCCCTTCATGGGCTTTCACTTGCCACGCCCTTCATGGGCTTCCACTTGCCACGCCCTTCATGGGCTTCCACTTGCCACGCCCTTCAGGTCCCTAAGCTCAAAGAAGCAGCATCGGAAGGGAGCTTCCGTGGCCTCTGTTCTCTGTGCTGTTCATGAGCCGCCGCAGCAGCCGCCGCAGCAGAAGGAAGATTCGCCGCAGCAGCCACAGCCGAATGCCGGTACGCTCATCGATTCCTTCCTAGAAAGGTGAAGGTGGCCCCCCTTTGAGTGATTCGGAAGGGCGTGTGTTTGGAAGGGGTGTGATCTGGTGCCTTACTCTATGGCTAGTTTAATTTTGCATATCTATGGCTATAAAATTCTTGTCAGTGTTGTCCAATATTTGTCTGTTTCCCCTTCATGTTGTGCCTCTGACTTTTGGGTCGACTCAAAAGTCACCTCAAGGTAGCCAACGTCATTCTGATGGCTTTATGACGTCTATAATCATTCCCATGTCTTTTCCTGTTGCCCCTTCTTATTGTGCCTCTTCTGCAGATCCTGCTTGTGCGGCGTTGGGCTGTGAGCCTGGCGGCAAATGTGAGGTGGACCAAAACGGAGAGCGCTACTGCAAGTGGGGTGAGTTCCTTCCTGCTCTGCCGGTGGGGTGACTTCTTTCCTGCTCTGTCTGTAAGATGAGCTGTTTCCTTGCGTGCTGTGTTCCCCAGCCTCAATCCCCCACTAACATTGCACCCATGCCCGCCCCTCAGACTCACCCTGTGGCGCCTGCCCCTCTGGAGCCACCTTCAAACCGTGCCTTCGACTGACAATAGCGTGATACAGGTGCCTTACTGCTTGTTAAGGCGCCTCAGAAATTATACCGCACTGCACCCATCCCCACCCTGCCCCTCAGACTCACCCTGCGGCACCTGCCCTATGGGCCACCTGCAAGACCTTGCCTGCTCAGGGCAACAGTTCGGTGCAGCTGCCTTACTGCACGTGCCCTGAAGGCTCTGGGATAACCGCGACCGAATGTGTTAAGGGTAAGCTTGTTCGACGCTTGCTCTAATCTCACTACTCTCCTCTCCCCACTCACCCCACTCTCCTCTCCTCCCACTCACCCCACTCTCCACTCCTCCCACTTGACCCGCTCCTCACTCTCTCTACTCACTCCACTCTCCACTTAAACTTTCTCGCTCTGCCGCAATTGTCGAACGGCTGATGGTGGTTAAGTTGTGTGAATGTGGCTATGCATATATGGATGTAGGAAGGTATGTATAAATTTGGTGGTGTTAATGCACGTAAGAATGCATGAAGGTATGTATGAATGTGGAAATGCATGAAGGCATGTACGAATGTGGGAATGCATCAAAGGTGCAGACTGGCACAGCACTGAGTCCTTCCTTGTGCCACCCATTCTCTCTCAGGTGGAGCATCTACCGTCTCATCGCAAATCGAACCGCCAAGGACAATTCCTCCCGACCCTACACCTACCGCCTCAAACTGAATGCGTGCACTCCTTTCCCAGCTGAAGTGGCTGACACCTACAAGGCAGTGTATATTGTTGAAAACATTGGTGATGCTCCGATTCTCACGCTCTACGTGGACAACAGCTGTACAAGCGAGCCTTTTCCTGGACCCACCGCGTCAACCACTACACCATTTGACGGACATTATGACCTGTGAGTGATTGCACACGCATGCACATCATTTCCCGCTTCTGTTTTTTAGCATGCCATTGTGAGAGCTATTACCGTATCCTCTTTCTCCTCCTTTTGTTACGATTATGCAGGGACATCCAGTCAAATATTCGCTCAATTTCGTGCACTCAGTTGATTGAAGTGGATGGCTGAATTCTCAAGGATGGCTTTTCCTTCCATTCAATGATGACCTTCTCCCTTCCACTCGCTCGCGATCCATTGAGAATGTTCCAGTGTAGACCCAGTGTAGAATGTTGTTTCTTCTTGCCAACCTTTGCTCCTGCCCAAGAAATGCCTGGCTTGAGTAATGTTTGTAGAGCTGTTTGTGTTGTATGTTGTGTCGTGTGTTGTAACTGTACCATTGACTGGATTCGAGTAAAGCCTGTTTGTAACTGCTTGCAACTGTACCCAAGATGCTTGTGAAGCCCATCTCTATCCTCCTGTCTACTACCGTTCAGCACTTCAAAACGTTTCCAATATACTAGGATGCTATTGTAACCTGATCGCATGCATGAGCTTTGTAGTTGAAACGGATGATCCTGCAACGAATTTTGCCCGGTCGTCCATTAGAACGCGTCTCTCAAACCGCCGGCTATCCGGCATATAAGACGGGTAGCTGTCTTCGTTTCTTTGTGCGACAAAGTCGCATATTGCTCGTTCATATAATGCAGTGGCAATCTAGGCGAAATACTTCCTCTCTGCGATTCACTCGTGTCAGGCACCGCGTACCTGACGTGTGGAATGGAACAGCCTCCCGCCAAGCAAGCCGTCGCACGCATCGCGTTCCTAGAAATTATTCCCAGAGCCATCGTCGTCGCAGCTCACCATATCCTGTTCCTATAAATTCAAGCACCCTGTACCTGACAGATCAACGGCCCTCCGCCAAGCAAGCCGTCGCACGCATTGCGTTCTTAGAAGTAGCACAGTAATCGCCAGAGCTTTATCGACGTCGCTGCTCACAATATCCCGTTCCCATAATTCGTGTTCCCATAAGTCACTACGATGGCGCTGCGGCTGCCGTGCTCGACTCGCGCTCGTAGCTCGCATTATAAATCACGGATGCAGCTCAGTCGAATCCCAAAGCAAGCGTGCCGTTCTTCTAGAGTCCCTGCCATTGCACATCCCTGTCAGCTCAATCAACTCCCCAAGCGAGCTTTCCGTTCTTCCATCCCTGCCATTCTAAGATTTTCCTTCCGCGCTGCTGCGCTTGTACAAGCAGCACTCGGCAATCCTTCCCCTGTCATTCATTTCCCAGCTCCAAGAAAGAGCCTGTGACACGGAAGGGCAACTTACTTACATTTTAAAAGAAACTTATTTGGCTTCTCTTCCGCCGCCTCTTCCGCGGCAACCCCACCACATCATGAGGACGATGCGCGCCTTTCCTGTCGGACTCCTGCTGCTCGCCCTTGCCCTCATCGCCGGTCAGTCTGCTTCTCTCTCATGTTTGCAATTTCACACCCCTTGGCATTTTTTTCCTCTCATTGCCTTCTCTCTCATGTCTGCAGTACCTTTGACATGCCTCTCTCATACCTCCGCTTTTCCCTCCCATACCTCCTCTCTGCCCTCTCATACATACCTCCTCTCTGCGCTCTCATATCTGCTCTCTCTTCTCTTCTCCTCACACCGTTTCCCTTGTCCTCTGCAGCAGCTCACATGATGAAAGCAGCATGTGGTGACATCACTGTGAAACGCATGACTCACCGCATGCTGAAGGACTCGTATGAATTTGGAGAAGATGGAGAAGAGAAGGTTGCAGAAGGTGACACGACGGCAGCAACGGCAAGCAGCAAGGTCACAGCGAGGCTTGCGCTCGAGACCAGCGGAGGTTCCAAGCTTCCCGTTGCCACAACGCTGGCAGCAGCAGCACGGAGCAAGGTCACTGCGAGGGTTGTTTTAGAGACCACCAGCAGCACCACCACCGACAGCACCACTGGCACCCCTGCTGACGGCGGTGGTAGCCTTGCTGATGGCATTCCCAACCCCACTCGCAGCATCCTCAATGAGGGTTCACCTCTGCAGTTCGCCACAACCGTGGCTGTCGGCAAGGCTAGGCTGAGCTTCGGCAGCCAGCGCTGCGTGAACGTGTCGAAGAAGGCGCGGGGGAAGGGCGCGCAAGTGTGGTGGAAGGGGGCTAACAGCAAGGCGAAAGGCTTTTCCTGCTCGCAGATCAAGTTCTTCGGGAAGGGCGGCTGCCAGGGCGAGGAGCTTGACAGCATGGTCAACCCGGGGACTGCTACTGCGGCCAAGTAAGTGCCAGACTGGTGGGCTATGTGGGTGGTGGAAGGGGTCTGGCAGCAAAGTTTTGAGTCGACTCAAAACTAGAGCGTGCAGGTGTGGTGGAAGGGGTGTAGCAGCAAGGCAGGTGATTTCGCCTGCTTACAGGTCAAGTTCTTTGACCAGGGTGGCTGTCAGGGCGCGGTGCTTGATAGCCGTGTGCATGTGAGGCACGATGAGAGAACACGAGCAGTAGATGACTGGAAAGGAGGGGAGGGGCAGGGAGGGGAGGGGAGGGAAAGGGAAGAGAGGGGCAGGATGGGAGGGGAGGGGGAGGGCGGGCAAGCGAGGGAGCACAATAAGCATGTTATCGTCTCTTGTGCACGTTTGAGGCGCCTCAAGAACCATCTCTTGCGCATCCACTTGCCACGCCCTTCAGGTTCCCCAGCAACAAGAAGGCGCTCAGCAATTGGGCCTCCGTGGCCTCTGTCCTCTGCACAGATGCTCCGTGCGACGCGTAGACGCGATTTTTTAGGCGCCGCAGAATTCATCACTTGTGCTTCCATTCCACTTGAACTGCCCTTCAGGTTCCCAAGCAACAAGAAGACCCTCCATCAGTGGGCCTCCGTGGCCTCTGTCTCCCCTGCACCAATGCACTTTTGAGGTGCATCCTCAAAACCCATCACTTGTGCTTCCATTCCACTTGCCCTTCAGGTTCCCAAGCAACAAGAAGACCCTCAGCCAATGGGCCTCCTTGGCCTCTATCCTCTGCACAGATGCTCCCTGTGACGCGTTGGGCTGTGAGCCGGGTGGCACCTGTGTGGTGGATGAGAAGGGCGAGCGCTACTGCCAGTGGGGTGAGTTCTCAGGCGCCTCAAGAGTGCCTTTTTTACTTGGCGTCTGTCTTGTGCGTTGATGCTCCCTGTGACGCGTTGGGCTGTGAGCCGGGTGGCACCTGTGTGGTGGATGAGAATGGCGAGCGCTACTGCCAGTGGGGTGAGTTCTCAGGCGCCTCAAGAGTGCCTTTTTTACTTGGCGTCTGTCTTGTGCGTTGATGCTCCCTGTGACGCGTTGGGCTGTGAGCCGGGTGGCACCTGTGTGGTGGATGAAACCGGAGAGCGCTACTGCCAGTGGGGTGAGTTCCCAGGTGCCTTACTTAAAATTATCCTCCTTGGCGTTTGTCTTGTGCGTTGATGCGTTGATGCTCCCTGTGACGTGTTGGTTGGGCTGTGGGCCGGGTGGCACCTGTGTGGTCGATGAGAATGGCGAGCGTTACTGCCAGTGGGGTGAGTTCTCAGGCGCCTTAAAAGTATATTCCTTCGCGTCTGTCTTGTGCGTTGATGCTCCCTGTGACGCGTTGGGCTGTGGTGAGTGAGCACGCAATTCTCGCTTTGTGTTGACTCGTAACACCTGTGTGGTGGAGTGGATCAAAATGGCGAGCGCTACTGCCAGTGGGGTGAGTGAGCATGCCAGTCGGCTCAAAAGTCACTGCGACTTGGCTTCCATGGCCCCTCTCTGCCCTGCTTCCCCCTCTGCCTTGCTTCCCCCTCTGGAATACCGATCCCCCACTAACATTGCACTCACATACCGCACTGCACCCATCCCCACCCCTTAGACTCACCCTGTGGCGCCTGCTTCACTGGAGCCACCTGCAAGACCGTGCCTGCGACTAACAAAACAAGGATCGGGTGTAGTTGCCTTCCTGCTTCTTAAGGCGCCTCACAAATCATACCGCACTGCACCCATTCCCACCCCACCCACCCCTCAGACTCACCCTGTGGCGCCTGCCCCACTGGAGCCACCTGCAAGACAGTGCCTGCGACTAACAACGGCTGGGTGCGGGTACCTTACTGCGCATGTCCTTCAGGCTATGGCATGACCCCGACTGGGTGTGTTGATGGTGAGTCTCTTTCCCTGTACTTTAGGCGAGTCTACTTTTTGAGGTGCCTCAAAATTTGGGTGTGGGTGCCTTACTGCGCGTGCCCTTCGGGCTATGGGATGACCCCCACCGGGTGTGTTGATGGTGAGCCTCTTTGATGCAATGGAGAGCACATGCTCGATCCAATCAGCAATGATTGGGTGTGGGTGCCTTACTGCGCGTGCCCTTTGAGCTATGGCATGACCCCCACCGGGTGTGTTGATGGTGAGCCTCTTTCCACTCCCCACTGCCTCTCCGCACTTTCCCCACTCTCCATTCTCAACACTCGTCCCTCGCACCCCACTCCCTCCACTTCTCTCCACTCTACCCTCTAGCCCGACTCCCTCCACTCCCCTCTTTCCCCCCTCTCCTCTCCCCCTCTCTCCCCATTCTCTCCTCTCCCCCTCTCTCCCCAATCTCTCCGCTTCTCACTCTCTTCTCACTCTCTCCTCTCCCCCACTCGCCCCAATCTTTGCTCCACCGTTCTCGCTCTGCTAGTTGGCTGAACGGTTCAATGCAGTATGAGTGTGTGAATGTATGTACGGACGTAGGGAATGAATGAAAGGCATAGACAAACAGTGCAATAAGTCCTTTTTTGTGACGCTCTTTATCAGGTGAAGTGGCCACTGTTGCTTCTTACGGCGCCACACACATCGTCAATCGAACCGCTCCCCTCTCGCCCCACTCCCTCCACACAATGCTTCCTTTCTTGTGCCGCTCTTTCTCAGGTGAAGTGGCTACCGTTGCTTCTTACAGCGCCACTTACATCGTCAATCGAACCGCCAACGACTACACTTCCCGACCCTACACCTTCCGCCTCAACCGAAACGGCTGCACTCAATACCCAGATGCAGTGGCGGGGAAATTCACGTCAGTGTATATTGTTGATAACATCGACGATGCGCCGTGGTGCCCAAAATTCCAAGTCTTCTCAACCGATAACTGTGAAGGCCCTAGCGATTACGACGACAAAGGCTCAGTCGAGGAGATGTTTCTAGCAGGATATTCACTGTGAGTGATCGATTCTTTCCCACCCTCATGCTTGCACAGCTTTTCCACTTCCCTTTCCGCACCTTGCATCAAGAACAATGCGTTCCGAGTCTTCTTATCCCCTTAGTCATTAAAGATGATACCCTCTGACTCATCTTATCCTCTTTGCTCTCCCCTTGTTGCCATTGACCAGGGATATGTCACCTATGCCTTATCGCTCTGCATTGTGCACTGATTAGGGTGGCAAGGCAAGGACGGCAGGCAGCACATACTTGCCAAGCTGACTTAAAAAAGTCTGGGATGGCAACGCATGCTTGTCGTGCACGTGCTATCGTTTCATCTGCACAGGCGATCGTGTCAATCCCCTTTCCCCCGTCACTAAATGGACACCCTTCTCCCTCCTCCACTCATTGGAGAGGCAGTAAGAAATACTCTTTCTTGCCTACCATTGCACTTGCCCCAGGGAGGTCTAGTACGGCTGCATGTGCTGAGTGTTCTGCGTGTGTTGTGTACTAATAGTTGAAGTTGTACTCTTCACTGGATGTGATTCAATCCTGCTTGTAACAACTTGCAACAACCCTATTCTATAACTATTGAATCTCGTAAGTGATACCGGTGGTACCTTTGTTGTGGGTATTACAGATAATACTAGAGCAGGCTCGACAATTCCAAAGTAAAAAAACTTGATCCATTTCTAAGAAATTCTCAAAAGCTTTCAATCTGATCTACAGCGAAGGGTATCGCGGAACCTACGATGTAGAAAGAAAAGTTCATCCACTTGTTAGAGCAGAAATCTCTGCTAAACTCAGCTACGTAAAGCCCGAAACTCCTAGGCAAGATTGATACCACTCCACCGTCTTATCAAGCGCACCAGCAAGCAAGATCGCTCCTTCCTACAAGTAAACTGGAAAAACGGTCCCGCCTCAATAAGAAACGAGGGTGGACCAAAGTCTTTGTCCAAACGAAGGACGAATGCGAGATGATAAGACTGGATGTGGTGGAACAAGGAACGAAGAAGTAATGAAGGAAGCTAGATTCTTTTCGAGAGCGAGATGTGTTTGTTGCTTGGGGATTCCTGGTGACCAAATTTGCTTGTCAGGGACGACTTGCCCCTGACTGAAGCATAGAGAAACCAAGGGCATGGCGTGGCGGATCGTCGTGGAATGCTGGTGCCGAAACTGGCGAAGATATCAACAAGGTTTAGGCCTTACGAAGAATTTGCGAAGTTTGTTACCATGAAGGATATGGGAATTGAGCGGATAGGATGGAATGATGTGGTGACAATGCGATTGGCCACGTATGTCTTGATCGCCTCGGGGGAGCACATCACATTTTCTGCGAACAACTGATTCTGAACTGGCAACCGTTCTCACGAAAAAGCGAGGTCAGAGTGTAACGCGCCAGCGAGGCTTTCTGCGGTATTTGCGAAACTCGCGGCTTTGTATTCGCGTTTGTATCAGCCCGAACACCACCTCTACAGCCCCCTGACTTCAAGTAATACACGATGTTGTTTTGTAATGATCCTTGGATCGAGAAAAACTCCGGATGGATCACAACAAAAGTCTGACGTGGCGGGCTAGATTCACGAAGTTCCATTGGAACGCGTCTCTCATACAGCCGGCTATCCGGCAGATAAGACGGGCAGCCGTCTTCGGTTCTTTCTGCGACGAAGTCGCATTTTGGTCGTTCATATAATGCAGTCGCATTCTAGACGCATTACTGTACTTCCTCCCTGCGATTCACTTGTGTCAGGCAACGCGTACCCGACGTATGGGACGGCCTCCCGCCAAAGCAAGCCGTCGCACGCATCGCGTTCCCAAGTGATACCAGAGCCATCGTCGTCACAGCTCACCATATCCCGTTCATATAATTCACCACGATACTATCGACACCGACGATGACTCATCGTAGCGCGATGGCGCTTCGAGTTTTGAGACGTCTCAAAACTCACCAAATCCGCTTCATATAATTCACTGCGACAATACGGCGCCGACGATGACTCATCGTAGTGCGATGGCGCTGCGGCTGCCATGCTCGACTCACGCTCGTAGCTCGCACCGTATATCACCGGTGCAGCTCAGTCGAATCCCAAAGCAAGCGCGCCTTTCGTCCATCCCTGCCATTCCACGACTCTCCTTCCGCTTCTGTGCTTCAAGCAGTAATACTCGGCCTGTAATACTCGGCCTGTAATACTCGGCCATCGTTCCACTCAGTGGACAGGCTGTCCTTCATTTTCAAGTTCCAAAAGAAGGAGCGTGTGATACGGAACGGCAACTTACTTATCAACAACTAATTTGGCTCCTCTTCCGCGGCCTCTTCCGCCGCCTCTTCCGCCGCCTCTTCCGTCGCCTCTTCCGCCGCCTCTCCCGCGGGACCCCCACTATCATGAGGACGATGCGCGCCTCTCCTGCCGGTCTCCTGCTGCTCGCCCTTGCCCTCATCTGCGGTCAGTCCGCTTCTCTCTCATTGCCTTCTCTCTCATTGCCTTCTCTCTCATTGCCTTCTCTCTCATTGCCTTCTCCCTCATTTTCTTCTCCTTGACATACCGCTCTCATACCTCCTCTCTGCCCTCCCATACCTCCTCTCTGCCCTCCCATACCTCCTCTCTGCCCTCTCATACCTCCTCTCCTCTCTTCTCCGCACACCCTCTCCCTTGTCCTCTGCAGCAGCTCACTTGATGAAAGCAGCGTATGGGGACGACACAGTGACAAGCATCACTCACCGCATGGCCCACCGTAGCATGCTAAAGGACTCGCATGCATCTGGGCAAGAGAAGGTTCCAGAAGGTGACTCCATGGGGGAATCAGCGCTCAGCAAGGTCACTGCGAGGGTTCTGCTGGATACCCCCACTTCCGGCACCCCCGTTGACAGCACCGGCACCCCCGTTGACAGCTTCGGCACCCCAGACAGCACTGGCGGCGGCAACCTCGCTGACGGTGGCGGCAGCCTCTTTGATAGCAATCCCAGCCCCGCTCGCAGCATCCTGAATCTGGGCTCGGAACTGCAGTTCGCCACAACCGTGGCTGTCGGCAAGGCTCGGCTGAGCTTCGGCAGCCAGCGCTGCGTGAACGTGCCGAAGAAGGCACGGGGGAAGGGCGCGCAGGTGTGGTGGAACGGCTGCGAAGGCTCGGGCGGCGCAGGTTCGAGCAGCGCGGCAGCAGGTTTCGCGTGCTCGCAGGTCAAGTTTTTTGGGAAGGACGGCTGTCAGGGCGCCGCGCTTGATAAGATGGTCAACCCGGGGGCTGCTGCAGCTAAGTAAGTGGCGGGTGGGCCAAGTAAGTGGCGGGTGGGCCAAGTAAGTGGCGGGTGGGCCAAGTGAGTGGCGGGTGGGCCAAGTGAGTGGCGGTGGGTGTGTGAGTGTTGTGATGTGAGTGTTGGGTGGTGTTTGGGAAGGACGGCTGCCAGGGCACGGAGCTTGATAGGATGGTCAACTTAGGGGCTACTGCAGCCAGGTGAGTGACTGGTGCATCTGCCCTCTCTGCATCTGCCCTCTCTGCATCTGCCCTCTCTGATGCAGCATGCACCGATGCTGCCTGTGAGGCGCCTCAAAAGCTGTCTCCTGTGCTTCCACTTGCCACGCCCTGCAGGTTCCCAACCACCAAGAAGAACTCTCGCAAGTGGGCGTCCGTTCCCCCTGTTCTCTGCACCGATGCACTTTTGAGGCGCCTTAAATATCACCTTTTGTGTTTCGTCCGATCACACTTCCCATTCCCTGCAGGTTCCCAAGCACCAAGAAGAACCTCCGCACACGGGCGTCCGTGGCTTCGGTACTCTCTGCACCAAAGCTCCTTGTCATCCCTGTCACGCGCCTCAAAAGCGATCTCTTGTGCTTCCTCTTGCCACGCCACGCCCTGCAGGTTCCCCAGCAACAAGAAGACGCTCCGCAAGTGGGCGTCCGTGACCTCTGTTCTTTGCACAGATGCTCCCTGTGACGCGTTGGGCTGTGAGCCGGTTGGCAAATGCGTGGTGGATGAGAGCGGCGAGCGCTACTGCCAGTGGGGTGAGTGAGTGAGCATGCGTTTCCCCTCTACCTTGCTTCCACATCTGCCTTGCTTCTCCCTCTCTCTTGCTTCTCCCCCTCCCTTGTGTTTCCCTCGCTTCCTGCCTTCCCCAGACTCACCCTGTGACGCCACACCTCTGGTGCCTTAATCCCCACTAACAGTGCACTCACGAACCACACTCAACCCATCCCCACCCCGCAGACTCACCCTGTGGCGCCTGCCATACTGGAGCCTCCTGCAAGACCGTGCCTGCGACTAACAACGACTGGGTGCAGGCGGGTGCCTTACTGCTCGTGCCCTCAATTGCCGCACTGCACCCATTCCCACCCCACCCCACCCCACAGACTCACCCTGTGGCGCCTGCCCCTCTGGAGCCACCTGCAAGACAGTACCTGCAACTAATAACGGTTTGGTGCAGGTGCCTTACTGCTCGTGCCCTCAATTGCCGCACTGCACCCACGCCCACCCCACCCCACCCCTCAGACTCACCCTGTGGCGCCTGCCCTACTGGAGCCACCTGCAAGACCGTGCCTGCAACCAACAACGGTTTGGTGCAGGTGCCTTACTGCGCGTGCCCTGAAGGCTTTGGGATGACCCCGACCGAGTGTGTTGAGGGTGAGTGCCATTGACACAAGCTAGATTCTGTGGTTATATGTCATTGGTCGTGCTGCTGCCTCACTGTTCATGCCCTGACGGCTATGGGATGACCCCGACTGAGTGTGTTGAGGGTGGGTCTCCTCTCTCTTCCCACTCGCCCGCTCACCCTGCTCTCCTCTCCTCACTCGCCTTACTGCTCTTGCCCTGACGGCTATGGCATGACCCCGACTGAGTGTGTTGAGGGTGAGTTGCTGTGAATCGACGCATGAGTTCTTAGAATGCTCATTACCTGCAACAAAATGGCTATGGCACGACCCGGACTGGCTGTGCTGAGGGTGAGTTGCTGTGAATCGACGCATGAGTTCTTAGAATGCTCATTACCTGCAACAAAATGGCTATGGCATGACCCGGACTGGCTGTGCTGAGGGTGAGTTGCTGTGAATCGACGCATGAGTTCTTAGAATGCTCATTACCTGCAACAAAATGGCTATGGCATGACCCGGACTGGCTGTGCTGAGGGTGAGTTGCTGTGAATCGACGCATGAGTTCTTAGAATGCTCATTACCTGCAACAAAATGGCTATGGCATGACCCGGACTGGCTGTGTTGAGGGTGAGTTGCTGTGAATCGACGCATGAGTTCTTAGAATGCTCATTACCTGCAACAAAATGGCTATGGCATGACCCGGACTGGCTGTGCTGAGGGTGAGTTGCTGTGAATCGACGCATGAGTTCTTAGAATGCTCATTACCTGCAACAAAATGGCTATGGCATGACCCGGACTGGCTGTGCTGAGGGTGAGTTGCTGTGAATCGACGCATGAGTTCTTAGAATGCTCATTACCTGCAACAAAATGGCTATGGCATGACCCGGACTGGCTGTGTTGAGGGTGAGTTGCTGTGAATCGACGCATGAGTTCTTAGAATGCTCATTACCTGCAACAAAATGGCTATGGCATGACCCGGACTGGCTGTGCTGAGGGTGAGTTGCTGTGAATCGACGCATGAGTTCTTAGAATGCTCATTACCTGCAACAAAATGGCTATGGCATGACCCGGACTGGCTGTGCTGAGGGTGAGTTGCTGTGAATCGACGCATGAGTTCTTAGAATGCTCATTACCTGCAACAAAATGGCTATGGCATGACCCGGACTGACTGTGCTGAGGGTGAGTTGCTGTGAATCGATGCATGAGTTCTTAGAATGCTCATTACCTGCAACAAAATGGCTATGGCATGACCCGGACTGACTGTGCTGAGGGTGATGAGCTTCGATGCATCCCCCCATCTACTCTCCACTCTCTCCTTTCTGCACTTCCCCCTCGCCCCACTTCCCCCTCGCCACACTCCCTAGTTCCCCTCTTGCCCCACTCTCTCACTCCCCTCTCGCCCCACTCCCTCACTCCCCTCTTGCCCCGCTCTCTCCTCTCCCCCACTCGCCCCACTGTTTGCTTCACCATTCTCGCTTTGTTAAGTTTGGTTGAACAGCTATGGCTGCTCGTTAGTTGTGGTATTGTGGAAACACATGAAACGTGCAGACAAACAATACACCAAGTCCTCTCTTGTGCCGCTCTTATGCAGGTGAACCTGCCACCGTTAGCGCGTACAACGCCACATTCATCGTGAATCGAACCGCTCCCCTTCTCGCCCCACTCCCTCCCCTCCACCCAATGCTTCCTTTCTTGTGCTACTCTTTCTCAGGCCAACCTGCCACCGTTACCGCATACAGCGCCACGTTCATCGTGAATCGAAACGCGGATGACAACTCCTCTCGGCCCTACACCTTCCGCCTCAACCTGAACGGCTGCACTCAATACCCGGACGCAGTAGCTGGGAGATTCACCGCAGCGTATATTGTTGACAATATTGATGACGCTCCAAGGTGCCCCTCCTTCAATCTCTACTCGACGGATAACTGTGAAGACGACAGGGATTATCAGGACAAGTCAGAATCTAGTGACCCTTTTGCTGCAGGATATGCTCTGTGAGTCATTCGTTCTTTCCCACCCTCGCACATGCACAGCTGTTCCACTTCCCTTTCTGCACCTTGCATCAGTAAACATTGCTTTCTTAGTCATTTTATCCTCTTTGCCCTCCCTTTGTTACCATTAACCAGGGACATGCTACCTATGCCTTACCGCTCCGCATGGTGCACGGATTAGGGAGGCAATGATACGGTAGCAGCACAGCATAGCACACGCCTGCCATGCACACAATGTGTCATCTGCGGCACATGCTTTAACTTGGATGGCTTCACCCCTCCACTCGATGCAAACCCGTTCCCCTCTCACTCAATGGACACCCTTCTTCTCTCCGCTCAATGGGAATGCATTGATAGCTTTGCAGTATAGACCCTCTGTAAAATGTTTGTACCTGCCTGCCAGCCAACCTTTGCTTCTGCTACTTCTTGTTTGAGAATGTCTGTAGAGCTGTCTGTATGTGCTGTATGGAAAGTTGATACTGTATGTCAAATTATATGTCTATGTCATAATAAAATGTAGGCTTTAGTGGGGTAGCTAATGTAGGGTATAGGTTTTGTTACTTGTACCCAACTTTCTCGATAGTGCAATACAACCTTTTCCTTTACTCTCGACATGGTATTAAGAGCAACATAGGTCCTTAGGACCGTTTTAGGACTGTTTTTCAGGGCCCACCAACCGTTTTCCGCCGGTTACCGTGTTACCCCGCCCCTTGCCTACACTGCCCTGAGTCGCGCTCGCCTCTGCTGGCCCTCGTCCAGCCCGCTAGCAGCCCGCCTGCTGCCTCGTCAGCCCCGCGCGTAGCTCGCTAGCTGCCTCGTCAGGCATGCGTGCCGCCCCGCAGCCCCCACGCTGCCTTCTCCTGCCCCGCGCGCCGCGTCCGCCGCCCGCGCAGTCCGCTGCTGCCCCGCGCGTCGCGTCCGCCACCCCTGCGCAGCCTGCTGCTGCTCCACTAGCTGCCTAAGGAGCGCGCGCGGCCCACTGCTGCCCCGCACGCCGCTGTAGGAGCCCGCGCGCGGCCCGCTACTGCCCTGCGAGCTGCCTTAGGAGCCCGCGCGCGGCCCGCTGCTGCAGCCTACGCGCGGCCTGCTACTGCCCCGCGCGCTGCCTGAGCTGCCTTTGCCTGCTGCCTACTGCCTGCTGCCTGCTGCCTTTGCCTTTGCCTGCTGCCTGCTGCCTACTGCCTTTGCCTACTGGCTTTACCTGCACTGCGATTATGGCGACGCTTAATGTTCTCGCATTTGAGCCTGACGGTGGCCCGATAGAGTTTGCTGTGTGGCTCGACGATCTCCAACTGTTTCTTCTGACCGATGCCAAAGACGGCGTTTCACTGTTCGATTACGTGTCTGGCACTGCCGTTGCTCCTGCTGACGATGCTACTGCTCTCGAACGCTCACATTGGCAGACTCGCGATGCTGCTACACGCCTAACTATTAGGAACCATCTGCCGATCACTGAGCGCGCGCATTTCAGCCAGCACAAAACTGCTAAGGCACTGTACGACGCTGTAGTTGCGCGCTACTCCTCCCCGGCCACTGCAGCCCTAGGTCGGCTCATGCTACCCTACCTGTTCCCCGACCTGTCCTCGTTTACCACTGCTGAGGACCTCATTTCTCACCTTCGCACTAGTGACACTCGCTTTCGTGCCGCCCTTCCACCCGAGTTCTGCGCCGCAAACCCCCCCCCCCCCCCCCCCCGATGTACTTCACTCTCTATTTCCTCGTCACCCGCCTCCCTGACACTCTTAGCTCCGTCAGGGACCACTTCCTAGCCTTAGACCCTACCACTCTCACTGTCGCTGACTTCGAGAAGCACCTCCTAGCAGCAGAGAAGAACATCTTCGCTGTAGGTGCTGCTCGTGGTACTCCTCGCTCTCCCCTCTTTGAGGGGTGCTCCCCCTCCCCTCTTACCCCCTCCTACACCTCCGCAGCTGCTGCTGTCGACCTCCTTGGTGCTGAGAAGGTCGCAGCTGCTTCCGCTCCTAGTGGGAAGCGCAGCGGCTCCAGGGGAGGCAAGGGTGGCAGGGGTGGCGGACGTGGCAGTGGAGGGGGCGGTGGTGGAGGCGGCGGGGGAGGTGGAGGTGGTGGGGGTGGTTGTGGGGGTGGAGGTGGTGGTGGGGGAGGTGGTGGTGCCGGGAGCGGTGGCGGTGGCGGCGGCGGTGGTGGCGGAGGGGGGAGTGGTGGTGGCAGCGGTGGTGGGGGCTTGGGTGACACCAGTGGTGGCCAGGGGCAGCAGCAGCAGCAGCAGCCGCAGCAGCAGCAGCCGCAGCAGCGTCAGCGCCAGACCCCCACTTCCCAGCAGCTTCTTGACTGGTATGCCGGGCGTGGGGCGTCTGGGGGTCCTGGTCACTGCCCCTATATCATTCGCGCAGGTCCCCGCGCTGGTCGCCAGTGCACAGGGTTTCACACAGAGTACCGCTGCTTCGCTCGGCTTAGCGACGCCTGGCGCGTCAAGTTTCCTGATGCTACTGAGTTCCCCAACTGGGCAGACCTGCTTAGGCGTGATGTACCTATCTTTGATCTTGACTATGAGGCTATTCTTGCTGCCATGTATGCATTGACTGTTAGTGCTGAGGGTGACTGCTACTTGTGTGTGCCGCCTGACCCCGGTATAGCCCCAGGTATAGCGCCTGTGGCACTAGGTGCTTGTGAGTCTGCTCCCCCTGGTACTTCGTCCGCACAGGCCTTGCACACCTTCACACTTGACTCTGGTGCTTCCTGCTGTTTCTTTCGCGACAGCACCACAGTCACTCCCCTCCCTGCACCTGTTCCTGTCTCACTGGCTGACCCCTCTGGGGGCCCAGTGCTTGCACGGTCTTCCACTGTGCTTCCGTGTCCGGCGGTCCCGTCTGGTGAGCTGTCTGGTCTCCACCTCCCCTCGTTCTCTACGGACTTGGTGAGCAACGCCGTCCTTCAGGATCACTGGGTTGACACCTTTACTCCTGGAGGACAGCGTGTGGCGATCTACACGTGCTCCCGGACCGGCCGTCACCTGGCCACATTCACACGTGCGCCTGGGTCCAGTCTGTACACCCTCACCACTGCGTCACGCTACACCCCTTTGTCTCCCCAGCTGTACGCGTCTGCTCAGGTAGCTACCCAGTGTGAGTGTCGCCGCCTGTCGCATGACACTCTCCTGTGGCACCACCGCATTGGTCACCCCTCCCTGCCTCGCCTTCGTAGCATGCACTCTCGCTTCCTGGTCTCTGGCCTTCCCAGGTCTCTGCCTGCCCTCCCTCCCTCGCCTGCGCCGCCCTGCATTCCTTGCGTCGAGGGGCGGCAGCGCGCCGCTCCTCACTCATCCTCGTTCCCTCCCACAGAGGCTCCACTGCAGACTCTCCACCTGGACGTGTGGGGCCCAGCCCGCGTCCGTGGACAGGGCCACGAGCGGTACATCCTGCTGGTCATCGACGACTACACGCGTTACACCACGGTCTTCCCCTTGCAACGCAAGGGGGAGGTCCCTGAGGTTTTGATCCCCTGGATCCGCGCTGTTCGTCTCCAGCTCCGCGAGCGGTTCCAGTCGGACTTTCCTGTCCTGCGTCTGCACTCTGACAGAGGTGGTGAGTTCTCCTCAGACCTCTTGGCAGCCTTCTGTGCGGAGCACGGCATCCGCCAGACGTTCACGCTTCCGGCCTCTCCGCAGCAGAATGGGGTTGCTGAGCGCCGCAATGGCTTAGTCATGGAGGTCGCTCGTACCTCCATGATCCATGCGGCTGCCCCCCATTTTCAATGGCCGTTTGCGGTCCGGTACGCCGCGCATCAGCTCAACCTCTGGCCCCGTGTCTCCTTGCCGGAGACCTCGCCCACATTGCTGTGGACGGGGAAGGTTGGCGATGCGTCGCGTTTCCGGGTCTGGGTGCTCGTGCCTTTGTCCGCGATACCACCGCGGACAAGCTCTCCGCTCGCGCCACTCCCTGCGTCTTCCTTGGCTTTATCCCTAATGCGCATGGCTGGCAGTTTTACGACCCCGCCTCGCGCCGTGTCTTTCTGTCTCAGGACGTCACCTTTGACGAGTCGGTTCCCTTTTACCGTCTCTTTCCCTGCCCCTCGCCCCCCCCCCGCCGCTCTTTCTCGCCCCAGGTCCTCCCCAAGTAGACCCCCTCCCCGCGTCAGGTCCTGCTCCTTCAGGTGTCTCTCAGGTAGACCCTCCCGTGCCTGCGCCTGTTGAGGTCACTGGTGACTCAGGTCCTGCTGGGGGTGGTGCTGTCCCTGGGGGTACGGAGTTTGGGGGTGCGGAGCTTGGGGGTGCGGAGCGTGGGGGTGCTGAGCCTGGGGGTGCGGAGCCTGAGCGTGAGGACCCAGGAGGTGCTGAGACTGAGGGTGCGGAGCCTGGGGGTGCTGAGCCTGCGCGTGAGGAGCCTGGGGGTACTGAGTCTGGGGGTGCGACGCCTGAGGGTTCTGAGACTGCTGTTACGCGGTCTCCTTGGAGTAGCCGCCTTTGTCCACGTGTGCCTCTCACCTCACAGCAGCTGCACGACTGGTACGGTCGCCGTCAGGGTCGCGCTTTTGGAGCTCGGGGCTCTGCTGCTGGAAGTACTTCTGCTGACGTCACTGGAGCTGGGAGTGGTGCTGGTCCTTTGTCTACTGAAGGTGCTGGAGTCGTTGGTCCCGGAGGTGCTCGTACTGGAGGTACTGGAGCTGCTGGGGCTGGAGGTGCTGGAGCTGCTGGGGCTGGAGGTGCTGTGTCTGAGGGTGCTACTGCTGGAGACCCTGGGTCTGGGGGTGCTGCTGGTGGAGGCACTGAGGCTGGAGACCCTGGGACTGGAGGTGCCGGTTCTGGGGGTGCTGCAGCTGGTGGAGCTGGTCCTGGAGGAGCTGTCGCTGAGGGTTCTGGAGCTGCTGGAGGTGCTGGAGGTGCTGGAGCTGCTGAGGGTACTGGAGCTGCTGGAGGTGCTAGAGCTGCTGGTGCTGGTGGCACTGCACAGCCGCGCCTGTTCTTCGCTCTGCCATCTCCGTCGTCTCAGCCATCGCCTGACTCTGCGCTTCGCCAGGTTCTCAGTCTC